AACCACTTTCACCACTTTAAAGAAACAAGAAATGCTATTTTGGACTGACTCAGGGTATATCTGTTTTTCTGTTTTTCCTTTAATGGTAGCACAGTGGGATTGTTTTGCAGGAAAGCTGCTCCTCATGGTGCAATATAAGATTAAGGAAGGGCCATGAACATTTATCTGTATGGGTCTTGCAATGTTTAAAGTACCTCTGAGTCTACAGTGTTTGCAGTTTGGGTCACCTATAGAGGTAAGACATTTAGTAAGATTATGAGCCAGTTCATTAAGTAAGGCTGCTTTTTAATTTCAAGGCTTCAAAGGAATCTCCAAGTTCTGGCAGCTTAAGCATCGAAAACAGATGCTTTTCTTTTCCATACTATTTATGAATGTTTAGTCATAAATCTTTTAATGTATGCCTTAAAAATATTTGTTGAGAGTCTCCTAGTGCCCAACACAATGCCAGGTACTAGAAATATATGGTATCTACCTTGCTATTTGAAGTAGTAAGTGGTAGGTACAGCATGTCTTTGAGTATGGGGCAGGGGAAGTGAACCAAGGAAAGGCTTCAGTAGCATCTGAGTTAGAATTTGAAGGAACGATAGGATTCCCCATGTATAAAGGAGGTCTGGTAATTCCATGCAAAGAAGGCAGGATGAGGAGGGGCACAGAGGCAGGCAGAAGAAGATATTACATGTCCAGAAACAATCATCTGGGGAAGGTACAGATTTGGAGGCAAGGCAAAGCATAGCTGGAGAAGAGGTTGGGAGGGGTTTGTATGGCCTACAAAAAAGTCTGAATTTTCTTTTTTTAGTAGGCTATGAGAAGATGTGTCAAAGGATTTTAAGGCTAGGTATGATATGATCTGAGTTTAGTGATATCTCTCCTCAGTATTGTGAAGGAAGGGATGGTGCATGGACAGTCTGTGGACAAAGAGGACATTTGGAGGTGCTGGGAAGAGAAAAACTTTTATTGAGAATCTACAAGGTGCCAGATACAGTGCTAGGCTCTTCACAAATATTATCATATTTAATGTTCATGGTGAGTATATGAGATAGGCATTATAATTCTCATTTAAAAGATGAAGCTAAATAACTTTCCCAGGGTCTCTCAGGTAGGCAGTAGTAGAGCTGACTTTTTATTCCATTCTGTCTGATTCCAAAGCTGCTGTTCTTTCCTTTAGGACAAAGGAGATGGATGACAAGGGTCTGACTTATGCCAGGAGCAATGCAAAAGAGGCACTCTCCCTCACCACAGAAGACTCCTAATTTAGTTGCACCTCATTTGGAAGCTTCTCCATCTACTTCATCATTCTAATTGATTTAATATGACAAATTTACCAATTACTAGCAGATTATTTATAACCACGGTGGAATTAGTTGCTTGGCTCAATCAAGCAACCAAAAAGTAACTGATTTGTAATTACTCAGTTTATCAAAGTGTTCAGAATGGTTAGTTTGTATAGACATAACTTACATTAGCATCGGACAAATATGTGCAATAGAATAGGAAGGGCATAACTGACTATTCACAAGTGACATTCTGAACCAAAAGGATTTTAACTCTAGCTTTATGTATAACCAAGTGGACAAGTCTTAGCTTTGAGTGCTAAAAGATGTTCTAGAAAACCTTCTGCTTTGTTTTGCCAGTAAAGAAACTGAAGTCCAGGAAACATAAAATATTTGCCAAGGTCTCCCAGCCCAAAAACAACAGAGCTTTGACTTGAACCATTTGCATTATTCTGATGCCAGGTCCTAGAGATCTTTTTCCACTATGCCTGCTGCATTGTGACACTGAGCAAGTCACTTAGCCTTTTGAATTCTCCACTACTTTGCCTACAACATGTGAGGGTTAGTAGATATATCAGTTAGCTTTTATTCTGTAAGAAAGTACCCAAAATTTACCAGTTTAAAACAACTGTTGAATGTCGTTCTGAAACTATAGTGTGTCCTGGTGGTTGTTCTGGGTCAGGACTGGCTCAGCAGATCTCTGTTGGACTCTTTTATGTGTCTGTGATAGCTAGTGGGCCTAGAATGATCTAGTACAGCTCCACTGATAGTTCTAGCGGTTGACTGACCATTGGCTAGGGATTGGCTGCTTGTCAAATGAGGAACCTCCATTTTCCTCTGCAAGATATCCTCCAGCAGGCTGCTCAGGCTTGTATACATGATGGTCTCAGGGCTCCAAACACAGAGAAGGCAAACCCCACTGAAATCTTCACTATGCCATGCTTGCTGTTCTCCCACTGACTACAGCAAGTCACATGGTGTGGTAGGCAGCTTCTGAAAGGGCTCTCAGGGATTGCTGCCTCCTGATGTTCATGCTCTTGTGTAGTCTCCTTTTCTTGTGTGAGGGCTGGACCTAGTGACTTGCTTCTAATGAACAGAATTCTGCAAAAGTGAAGGGACAGTGTGTCTCAGATTAGGTTATAAAAGACTGTGACATTCTCTGACTATTTGCAACATGATTCTCCAAGTGAGCTAATAATTACTGAAGTCAGGTGATGGACACATGGGATGCATTATACTAGTCTCTGTACTTTTATATCCTTAATAAAACATAAATGATTTGTATCCTGACAACACATCTTGAAGACTGTGTGTGTATGTCTGAGGGATCACAGCACCATTTACCTCCTCCTCCTCTATTGCAGACAGTAAAGATTAATTATCTTCTTTAGGGCAAAGTGATGAAATGAGTTGTAGTTATAGAAAACATAAAGGCTTTTTAGCCTCAAATCATGTGGCTAACATAAAGTAGGGTATTTGGGGAAATTTACCCTGCCTCCTGGCTAGATACTGTATTGCATTATTTCTCACGATCATTTTTCACTAGCTGAGATGGCATGGTTTCATATACAGCAGAATCCTGTAACATGGTTCACCCTAGAGTAAAAGCCAGTGGAAGGATCCTCTTCAAATATTAGTTACTGAAATACTGAAAGGATTTTGTCATAAGGCTTTATATAATGTGGAGCATAATATAAAATGGATTGAGTTTATGGGTTAGTGAGGGAGAAAAATAGGGTAGGGGGATGGAAATAATGCCCCTTTGTTTGAAAAGTTCTGGTTGGTTTGCTACAGCAATAATGGATTATGGATTTCTTTAGGTTTTCTCTTCCTTTTTTCTGAGGTAGGTCAGACTGTGAAATTAACATCAGGGATGGATAGATTTTATGAGTCAGGGAGGTACTTTAGGACTTTTGGGGGGCAAGGGGTGCCTGGGGCTGAAGCTGAAGAGATGATGCCTCATATTTATAACTGTTTTAATGCTAGGTTATAAGGGAATCATATTTTATGATTTTGAATCAGACTTTTCTTGAAAATACCTTTGCCACCGCACTGAGTCTTTTCCCAACCCTTAATAAATGAAGACTTCACTAGACTCAGATATACGCAAATTACATTTCTCTTCTCAAGCCAAGGTTAAATAAAGGGAAACTTATGAAAGATTGCTTATGACAGCAAGGATTTTCACTGCTTAAAGATGAATTTGGTTATTTCAAAACCATTATGAGTTTCCTTGTCATGCAAATCTGGAAAGGAATAAAGTAATGGAGAAAGTGGACCTGGACATAAACATGTTCCCACACAGCACTTGTCCTGAACAGCTCTGTTCTTGTTCCCAGAGTTGCTGAACCTTGGCAGTTACAGGCATTTTCCTCTGCTCTGAAAAATGTTTGGCAAATAAAGAGAGTAAGTCCCTTCCTTTTCTGTGTTCAAGGCTAGGTTCTGGCCATGTTGCAGGGAAACACTAATTCCCAGCTGAGCTCCTTGGGAGCAAATGGTTTGTTTTCTCATCGCTGAATCCAGCCCAGGGTAGGCTCTCAGCAGCTGAGCTTGGCATGAAAAAATCTATTTGGAGCAACTTGTCCCCAGGAGGGAAGAAGGCAAGCTGATTGTATGGGGGAGTCGCAGCCACCATCGGCGCCCAGTTACATCTGCTGGCCAGAGTGGGCATTAACACAAGAAGGCAAACACAGAGTCCATGGCAAACATGAGTCTTGTGTGTCCACACCCACACCTGTCACACACACTCAGCTCCATCCATATATATATACACCATGCAACACATTCAACATCCCCTGTGTCCCACACTGACACAATTACCACATACACTATGTAACAGCTATACCTAACCACATACTATGTGCACATGAATACACTTATACACAACTAAGCACATACTATACATACTGCAAGCACTCTACTCCACACACATACACACCACCCACACTCCGCATTGGTAATATACATCCATGCCACATATGAATGCACATACCTCATCACACACTCCACATAACATCCCATACATCATACATGCCACATGTTCCATATACACACATACCCACTACACATACTCCATACAACCATACACACCAAACCACACACATGCAACACATTGCACATACGAGTACCATGCACTACACATGCATCTCTTCCTGTTTCTCTCATACCCCATACACCTACCCCACACCCAGTTTGGTTACTTTCCCACTGGGCAAGGCAGAGGCGGGCAGCCGCGGGGCTGGGGTCTGGCCCCGGACATGGTCCCCAGTAGCGGCGCTGGGGGCAGGAGGCATGCCCTGGGGGAGCACGAGTGTGCGTCGCCGCGTGCGTCGCCGCGGGGCGTCTGCCCAGGCACTGGGAGATGTGTACGAGGGACATGGGAGACGTGTGGGGAGAGGCTGTGTGCGCAGCAGTTCGGGGTGGCGTGTCCCCGGCCCCACAATCCTCCGTGGAGTGTGTACTTCTGTGTCAGTTCCCCAGACACCCAGCTGGCAGGGAAGTGTGTGGGGGACGTGCGCGTGTAAGCTGGCGTGCGTGTGCCTACCAAGCTGCGAGGCGTGTGCGTTCATAACGGTCCTCTATTGGTCGGAGTCCGTCTCTGAGGAATCGTTGTGCATCGGGCTCGCGGGGACGGGAGGGGGGGGACCGACGACCGCCCTCCCCGCAGGGTGTGTGTTAAGGGGCCGGGCGGGTGGGGGGGCCCGCGTTACCGCCAGGCCGCCGGCGAGCGTGTGCGCGTGCGCGGGGGACGCCGCGGAGGTGGAGGGGGCGACGGCAGGCCCAGCCCCCGGTCGTAGCGCCCGGGGCGGCTCCTCTGCGAGCCTGGGACCGCCGCGCTCCCGCTGCCGCCGCCGCCACGCGCTGGCGTGACTCCCGGCCGGCGCCGCGCCCTCCCACGTCTGCAGCCGGCTCGGCTTCCTGCCCGCCCAGACGCCGCTTCTCCTGGGCTCCGGGTCTCGGCTCCGCGGAGGGAGAGGAAATGAGTGCGGCGGCCTCGGCGCCCGAGCGGGGTTGGAAGAGCGAGAAAGTGGACGAGGCTCAGGCCCTGGCGCGGAGCTGCGCTGCCCGCAGACCCGACTTCCAGCCGTGCGATGGGCTCTCCATCTGTGCCACGCACAGCCATGGCAAGTGCTTCAAGCTGCACTGGTGCTGTCACCTAGGATGGTGTCACTGTAAGTCGAGCTGCGTTTCCCCACCTCCCGCCGCGGTCCCGGGGCGCCGACGAGGCCGTCTGGGGTCTCGGCCGGGACGCTGCGACCGTAGGGCTCCGGGCTCGGCTCCGGCTGCTCTGCTGCAGGCTGGAGCCGTCTGGGCTCGGCGCTGGCGGGAGCTGCCCTCGCGCCGGACGGCTCAGGTTGGCGCTGCCTTAGCAACAAGATGAAATTTCGTGGGGAGCCTAGCTTTAGCCACTTCTACAAAAGGGGATCCCCGTTCCAGGAAAACTGAGATCTGTTTTCTTTTTTCTTTTTTAACCTGAACGACCAGGCACTGTGTTGAGAAATGGCAGAGAGTGACCGGAGTGGACAACTGGAGGGGAAGCCTTTATTCAGGGCGGGTGGTTAAAGATGCTCCTCTTTCTCAGTTTTGTTTTTCGGGCTGCTAGTTAAAAGAGTCTTTGGATATCGAATTGTGGCCCATTTATTGTATCCAAATTGGGAAAGCGCTGAAGTGTGAGGGACAGCTTCCTCCAAGAAGTTATTATTAACAGTTTGGAAGGGTGAACCCCTTAAATACCCAATTGTAGTGTGTAAAGCCAATATGTGAGACTGAAAATTACAAAATCAAATGAGTAAAACTAAGCTTAAATAACCTTAAACTGATTTGTAAAAGCTAGAACTAAATGGTCTAAGCTTTTTCTGTGTTTATTCTGCCAGTGACTTTTAAAGTGGATTAAATTTAAGTAGCCATTTAATCAGAATTCCACAATTTAATTAGTCCATGGTTTTTGGCCTGCAATATCCGATAGATCATTTCTTTTTAGAAATATGTTCTAAACTTTATTTCTACATAGTATTGTAAGAGAGGGTTTTGGAGTGCTTATTCAGGATGCAAATTCTCAAAGGGATCATAAGTTAAAATTATTTTTTCATCGTTGGTTTGGAAAAATGGCTCCCAACAAGACATGCAGTATGTAACATTTATTTTAACTGAACACAATAGGATCATTAAAATTGAATCTATGGCTTAAAGGTTAGAGAATTCTTATATTTTCTATATAAATACAAGGCAAACTGGACAGTATTGATTTTGTGTGTGCTGTGTGCTGATGGGTCTTGTTATTCCTATTGCTCTAAGATCCGTTCCTTATTATAAAGCATGCCTTGTGGAGAGAGGATACAAAGTTGGAAGCAGCAACTGTAGGAAACCTGTAATGCTCAATTACACAAGTAGGATGAATTTGGTGAGTCCATTTCCTGAGGAAGTATAGAATCATAGTGCAGCATGTGAGAAGCGTTAAAGATGGTCCTGTTTGGTACCTATCTTATTTCAGCAGTCTCCCCTCTAAGTACACCATTACTGATGGGAACCCTGCAGTCTTCTCAGGCAGTTTCTTCGTTTCTTCCTTCATTAGACTGCCTTTGCTTAAAACATTCTTCCTTATATGGAGCTAAAATCAGTTTCTTCCTAACTTCTTTTCACTGGTCCTGTTTCTGCCTTACGAAATCATATAGGACAATCTAATCCTTTTTTAGATCATGTTTTTTTTCAAACTCTTTAGGTATAACATGAATTTCCCACAGATAAAGGCTATCTTCTCACTGTATCCCTAGCCGCTGTCACAATGTGTGGCCTGAAATAGATTTGAAATTCATTTTGGTTGAATGACTGAATGAAGATGGTCATCATTTTCCTCTCGAAGAATTGTTTTGTCCTATTTACAAATCCCTATTCCCTTCTGTCTTTCCTTTTATGTAATAGTTTCCAAATTTCTAAGCATCCTGGTTGTTCTTTTCTGAACATGTGCCAATATGGTTGTGATGCTTTGAAGACTGTGACCCTTAGGGTCACCCAATATCCCAGTTGTGGTCTGATCAGTCTGTAGTAAGCAGAACTGCTGTTTTCCATGCTTAACATCATCATGTTAGCTTTTCTGATATCTACATTTTCTTGAACTTGCCGCTGTCAGATTGAATGAAGCTTGCTGTCAACTAAAGCCATTAAGCCCCATTTTTGTTTGTTTTACATATATGGCTACTAAGTCACAGTACTTTCCCATCTCACAGTTTTTTATGTATTTTTGAATGCAGGTATGGATTGATCTCTTAGGCATTTTTCTGTATTAAATTTCATCTTACTAGAATTAGCCCATTTTCTTGGCTTATCATTGTGTTTTTAGATCCTGGCTCTTTCATAATACATATTATGAATCCCCTAGTTTCATGTCAACCACATATTGGATGCTAATAGTAGTATAGTAACCTTCTACATCTTTATTCAAGTTATTGGTAAAATTGTTGAACGTGAGAGAGCCACAGATAGTTCTGAAGCTTGCTAGTAGAACTGCCCTTCTGGTTGATAGCAATTTATTAATGAACACTTGTTATGGTCATTCAAGCAATTACCTAGTCTCTTAGTTGTACTGTTATCCATCTTATATTTACCTTATCCATATGGATATAGTGGAAATCTGGTCAAATACCTCCTTGAAATCCTACCAACACTACTTTTACTGCTTCTTTTGGATGTATGTATCTATAAGCACACTCTCTTAAAAAGAAGAGAGGAAGTTGGATTAGACTTGTATAACTGATTGGTTCAACAAATGCTTATTTTCTAAGTGATTAGAAGCCAGTTTTTTTTTTTGAGAGAGCATCTCTCATATTTATTGATCAAATGGTTGTTAACAACAATAAAATTCAGTATAGGGGGGTCAATGCTCAATGTACAATCATTAATCCATCTCAAGCCTAACTCTCGTCAGTCTCCAATCTTCTGAAGCATAACAAACAAGTTCTTACATGGTGAACGAATTCTTACATAGTGAATAAATTCTTACATGGTGAACAGTACAAGGGCATTCATCACAGAAACTTTCGGTTTTGATCACGCATTATGAACTATAAACAATCAGGTCAAATATGAATATTCGTTTGATTTTTATACTTGATTTATATGTTGATCCCACATTTCTCCCTTTATTATTATTATTATTTTTATTTTTAATAAAATGCTGAAGTGGTAGGTAGATGCAAGATAAAGGTAGAAAACATAGTTTAGTGAGAAGGCAGTTTTTAAATAAATGATCTGAATTTAGAAAAGGAGTGGTGTTGAGTATACTGGACTGATGTTGGCTGTTCTTTCTTTCCTTTTTTAAAATCAGACCTACGTTTATTTGCTCTTCTCCAGTCTCTGGCAATCCTCTGGGGCCCCATGCTTCCTCCCTGACAGCGATTCAGTGATCATATTCATGAGGAGGATCAGTTCATTTAGAGTACCAAGAGATTCTGGTACAGTCTCCTCACCTCTCCTGGGAGTCTAATCTTTCTCCCCTTTTGTAGCCCAAATATAAAATTTTTCTTGAAAAGAAGTAGAATTAACATATTGGAGAAGTTCTACTTTCTTTTTGGCATTCATGAGCATTACAACATAACATCAGGCCTAAGTGGAATTCCTTCATTCTGTTGAACATGTATTAAGTGCCTTCTCTTTATGAGATATTATAATGAAAACTAGGAATACAAATACGAATACAGCCAGATGATGCCCTTTAAGCAGAGTACAGGCACACCTCATTTATTTCACTTTGTTTTATTGTGCTTTGCAGATACTGCATTTTTTACAAATTGAAGGGTTGTGGCAACCCTGTGTCGAGCAAGTTTATTGGAGCCATTTTTGCAACAGCATGTATTCACTTCATGTTTCTGTGTCACATTTTGGTTATTCTCACAATATTTCAAACTTTTTCATTATTATATTTGTTACAGTGACCTGTGATCAATGATTATGACTCACTGAAAGCTCAGATATTAGCATTTTTAGCAGTATTTTTTAATGTATGTCCTTTTTTTAAGACATAATGTTATTGCGCAATTAATAGGTCACAGTATAGCGTAAACATAGCTTTTATATGCACTGGGAAATGAAAAAATTCATTTGGCTTCCTTTATTGCAATATTCACTTTACTGCAGTGGTCTGGAACTGAACCCTCATTATCTCTGAGGTATGCCTACATAAGGGCACGACTCATGCTACATTTATTTTTGTATTCCTTTAAAATCACAAGTGATATAGGTGCGAAGACTATCAACTGGTTCACCAAATCAGAAATCGTAAAATGAGAGGACTGCTTTAATTAGCTTGAGAGAAGAAATTCCGAACAAATGAAGTACAGTTTTATATGGTTGATGTTAAACTTGTGAAATTCATAATTGTATGAAATAGAAAAGGCTGAAAATATATACATGTTCATAAAAGATATGTAAAACATGTATATATTCATACATGCAGTGCTTAGTGTATTAGTATCAGAAATAATACTGTTTAAGGACCAGGTCTGGGAGGAAAATTGCATTAGGTTCTGTTGGTGTCAGTGTCAAAGATAAATTATTGGGCTGAAAAAACTATGGCCCTGTATGTGGAAGTTTTATTTTTTCCCAATAAGGAGTGAAGGATTTCAAGAGGTGTTTTGGGTAAGAAAAAGACATGGCTTGGCTAGGGAAGAGGGATGGGAAAAAATAATATGCAGATACTATAAAGTAGACTTTGTGGCTGGAGGAGATAGGATATTTAGAAGGAATAAGAAATTAGATTGTTGAGATTTGAAGGAGGGATGACCAGGAAAAGTGGGAAGTCTAGAGTTTCAATTTTTTTATAATTAAAGCATAGTTGATACACGATATTATATTGGTTTCAAGTATACAACACAGTGGTTCAACAGTTAAACACATTACTCAATCCTCACCCCAACTATCTGTCAACATGGAAAGATGTTATAGAACCATTGATTACGTTCTCCATGCTGCACTTCCAATTCCATAACCAGTTTATATTATGATTGAGATTTTGTGCACCTTTATCATTCTCACCCTCCCCTCCCACCACTCCATCCATTCCCCCATGGTAACCATGGGTCACTTCTTAGTGTCTGCGAGTCTATTGCTATTTTGTTCATTTTGTTTTAAGATTCCACAATAAGATATGTCATATGGTGTTTTTCTGCCTGGCTTATTT